GTGTCTTCCCCAACTTCCAGTGTCCACATGGCTCATACTCCCACTTATTTTAGGTCTTCACTTTCTCAGTGAGGTCTTTTATGTGTCTGAATGTCTGGTTCCCGAGCCGCTATAATTAATAGCACATAATAGTAATTATTGCACTTAATTATTTTAGCCCCTGAGATCTCCCGATTATACTATATGTTAAATGGTATGTCGTGTATTTTCATATTGTAATGATAGAACCCTTTCTACCCTTCTGTTCTATCACTTGATAGAATATGAGAGACTGTAACAATTAAAATACTCAAATAAGAAAAAAAAACTCTAAAATAACTATAGGTGGCAACATTTGCAGAAGGTTTTGGGAAGAGAGGGGCAGAATCCCTTGTTTCTCATTGTGCTAAGTACCTAGGACCGCTGCAACAAGGTGCCACAAACTAAGTGGCTTAAAACAACAGAAATTTATTCTCTCACAGTTGTAGAGGCCAGAAGTCCCAAATCAAGGTGTCAGCTGGTCCATTCTCTTTCTGATGGCTCTGGAGGAGAATCTTTCTTTGCCTCTTCCAGCTTCTGGTGACCAAAAGGGTTTCTTGGCTGCTGGCAGCACAACTCCAATCTCTGCCACTGTCTTCACATGGCTGTCTTTCCTCTGTGTCTATGTCTTCGCACAGCCTGCTCCTCTGTGAATCTAAATTTCTCTCTTCTTATAAGGACACCCGTTGTTTTGGATATGGGCTATCCCTAGTGACCTCGTCATGACTCGTTGCCACCTACAGAGACTCTTTCCTAATGAGGTCACTTTCACAGGTGCCAGGGGTCAGAACTTCAATATATCATTTGGGGCATACATTTCAACCAGTAACACTCATGATAAACTTTTCAGGACTACTTGACGTTTTTACCATCAACACATTATTTTAATTAAAAGAGGAAAAAATGGCAGCCCTGGGTAATCTTTGAATTCTTAAAGAAATGGTTGCATTCCTAGAGATCCTAACAGCACTCTGCTTGGCACCACTGTTCAGATGGGATTCTCTTGGATGTCTCCTGCATCCTTGATTGGTCATCCACGCCTGCACATTCCCCTGCCCTGAAGTGTCTGCAAACTAAGATAAAAAGATGTGCTAGAGCACAAGGCATCAACAAGGCGGTGGGCCAGGAGGAAGCCCTGTGAACCATCTCCAAGCTTGGGCACCATTCAGTGCTGTGCTGTGCTCTATCTGCCAGCAGCTTCTCTTCATGAGCATTGCTCACTCTTGCCCTCTCTCTGTCTCTCTCTGTCTCTCTGTCTCTCTGTCTCTGTCTCTGTCTCTGTCTCTGTCTCTCTCTCTCTCTCTCTCTGTGACTTGCCAGGCTGGCATTTGGTGCATCGCAGTGTCCTGCCTTCTCTCATCCAGTGAGTAAACCCCTATTCATCTTGGGCACCTTGAATTCTCCTTATTTAGGAAATGATTTTGTTTTTTACTGGACTGCAATAGAGAAAAAGGAGAGAAGTATTGCATTGTGCGTATGGCAGTGCGTTGAGTATTTCATAGTATTTTGTATCAAGATGTAGTAACATAAGGGGTTACAACTGAGCAATATTACAACCGTAATTGTATTATTTGCCATGGCTTTGAATGGTTTCTCAGGTTCGGATCCCCCAGAAGCAAAACCCAAGATAAGAAGTTGAGGACAAGCAATTTATTTGGGAGATGATTCCAGGAAACACCAGTAAGTTCACCAGCAGGAAGTGGGACAGAGTGGTAAAGACAGCCTATAGCGGGTTTGTTACCAAGCAGGTCATCTGGGCTCAATCCCCTGGGGACTTCTGGGAAACATAGACTATGTGGCTCAGAGTTATTCCACCTGAGGGGCATGAGAGGTTGCCTGCCTTGTTTCAGGTTGAATTTCACCCCCAGAAAAAGATATGTTGAAGTTCTAACCTCCAGTAAATCAAAAATGTGACCCTTATTTGGAAATAGGATCAATGTAGGCTAGTTAGTTAAGATAAGGCCATACTAGAGTAGGGTGGGCCCTTAATCCAATATAACTGGCATCCTTATAAAAGAAACATGTGAACAGACAGAGACTCATAGGAAAAGGATGGCCATGTGAAGATGGAGGCAGAGATTGGAGTTATGCCGCCACAAGCCAAGGAATGCCTGGGGTCACCAAAAGCTGGAAGAGGCAGAGAGGGATCTTCCTCTACAGGCTTTAGAGGGAACACAGCCCTGTCAATACCTTAATTTTGGACTTTTGGCTTTCAGAACTGTGAGAGAGCAAATTACTGTTGTTTTAAGACCCCCTCAGTTTGTGGTACTTTGTTATGGCAGCTCCAGGAAACTAGTCCAATATTTATATACCAACTCCATCCACCATGAGGACTACCCCAGCAGCCATTATACCCCCATCACTTCTCACTTGCCTTTACAAACATCCCAGCATGATCTTATGGGCGGGGAAAAAAAGACCCCAGACAGAGAGATAATAAGCAGCCTTCAGGAAGTATGTGCCTAGATTTAGAACAACTTGCTGTCAAATTCATAGCACTAATTGGCTTGCTCCCCATATGATAAAGCTGAAACTCCTGAAAAAGTAGGTCACATAAAGTTAGTTAATCTGAAAAGAATCTGGTTAAATTAGCACAGGCAATCCTCAACTTTGTCAAGAGGAGGAGAATCAGGCCTTCCTAGATGAATAAAAGCCATATGTGATCCCCAGACTTAGTTTTCCCACTTCTCAGAGCACAGCTCTGTATCTGAACTGTCAAAACAGTAGAAATCAATTAAATAGAAGCAACCATTGGTGAAGAATGAAAAGACAGGTAAAAGGAGGGAGAAGAGGAAATTATCTGTCTTACTTTAAGAAGCTGCGGGCATAATAATGACAAGCAGCCAACATTTCCTGCACCATTACCACATGCCAGGCATATATTCTGAGGCTTTTAAATAAATTTATATACCCATAACAACCCAGTGAGATAGAGAGCCTTATTTTACTGATGAACCCAAGATTCAGAGAAGGACAATAGCTTGTCCAAAGTCACACAGCTACTTAATATGGTAACAGAGTCAGAGCCCTGTCTTCTTACAGAGTAGAAATCAGACGGGCCCTGAGGGTCCATCTGTCTGGACCAGCCCAGATATTGTGACTCCCAATCCAGAGTCCTTCCCATTATCCATGCTTTCTCCTCAGCCCTGAAAACTGACCCTTGGCTAGCTACTCCTAGGGCTGTCCAGATAATAGGATTTTAAAAGTAATGTCTTATGCTCATTTTTGGAAACAGGTTCTCCAAGCCTATTTAATCTTTCTCTAGCCTGAGGAAGCAGCTGTCTTTTCCTGATCTCTTTCTCTTTACATCCTTCAAGGTTTTTTTCTTTTCTTTTTTTTTTCTATTCTGCATCCAAGACCATTAAATCCTAGTGCTGTCTGTTAGAATTTAAAGAACGGATTTGAAAATCACTCTCCTCTTTATTAGCGCAAAGGAAACTGAGAACATGAAGCTTTTGGCCTCAAGTGAATCTTTTATTATTTAAGTGGAGACAAACATATTTTTTCAAGGATGGTAGCACAGTCATTGTCACAAGCATGATAATATGTCAATTTCACGAGAAAGAATATGCTACAAGTCATGCTATTCTCATTTTCAATAGCATTCTGGCAAAAATTAAAGACATTTCCAATTGTGTCAAGCACTTAATGAATAGTAAATTCTACTTTCTGCCTTTGGGTAAATAAATGGTGTCTTTCAGTGAAGCGGTAGAAAATAGTGTGCGGGCTGCTTCTTAAAACGGCCCTCTGCTCCAACGACCGTCAGCCTCTTCGGTTACCGCTGAACTTCTCAGCTATTTTCTGTAATTCCAAATCCATCGCAGCTAGGTTTTCAAGTTCTTTTTCCTAGAAAACACAGAAAAATGGAAGCATAAGGTCCCAGATCAATTTTTTTGTTGTAGTTTAGGGCGGTACGAAAAGAACGGAGGATTTTCGATGTGTTAGAGGCCGTATGAGGCGCTCGACACGAGTGGTTCTCCAAGTGTAGTGCCCGGATCAGCAGCACCAGCAGTGTCGCTGGGGCACTCATCAGAAATGCAGATTCTCCGGCTCCCCCGGGACTAACTGAATCACAAACTCTGAGAGGTAGGAATCCCTCATGGGGTTGATGAACATTCAAGTTTGAGAAGCAGTGACCTACATAATCAATATCAGGACAAAGCATTGTTTAGGCAGGTACAGCTCTGATAATGTTACTTCTCCCAGATGCAAATTTCTGATTTCTTATAGCCGTGAGCTGACCAAGATAGATCAAAGCAATGAATTTCCGTATCACCTGAGAAATTATGATGTAAAGTCAAATAACCAAGAGAAGACACTAGAGTAGTGGTTCGTTGTCAACCTTTGAACATTGAAACCACCTGGGGGGTTTTAAAAAATCCTGGTGCCCAGTACCAGATAGACAGAATCTCTTGGGGGGGTCTCAGACACCAGTCATTTTTCTGGTGATCGCACTGTGCGACCAAGGCTGAGAAGCACTGCAAGAGGAGGAGGTGGGCAGGGATGTGGACAATGGCTAGATGTCGGGTGGAAACCAAACCCAGAAGTTGTCTCCACCGTTATGAGGTGTACATTATCATGGTGATAATTCCCACCAATTTCTCCCCATTAATATCCGATAGTCTTGAACATATTAACATTAACCATCTTATGTTAAGTTTATACTACGGCCCCACAGCGTACCTCTTCCTCTGTCAGAACTCTCGGGCCAGCCCTGTCCTTTGCGTTTTCTGCCGCGTGGCGTGGGCTCATCTGATCCTCAGAGTCATAGAAGTCCGGAAATTCGGCTGACTTCTTCCTGTAGTGAAGGAGCTGGTCCAGTTCGGCCACTCTGTCATACTGCCTTTTCAGATCCAGTTTGGGGGCGAGGTTCCTCTTCTCATATCCCCAATTCACATCCTCCTCAAAGGGCTTTTTCTCCCACCAGTCATAGTTGTATTCTGGGAAGAAATTCTTCTCATTCAAGGTCAGGCCATTTTCCTCTTCACCCTCAAGAAAATTGTCATTCAGGTTGTCTTTCCTCTCCAAATAGCTGCTCTTCCACAGGGAGGGGTCATAGTACGGGTTGAGCAGCTCCTCTAGTCTCTTCCTCTTTTCAGTGGTGTGATAGGGAGCATATTGTTTGCCTTGAAGCTTAGCTTCCTCCCTGTTCTCGTCAGTGTCTTGCAAGTCCTCCTGCTCCTGCCATTTCCCTTGGTCTCCTTCCTCACCCTTTTCCTCACCATAACTGAGGTAATTTTTGTCCTGCTCTTTCCACTCGCCTTGTGGACGCCTCCTTGCCTTGTCCCTGTGGTTTTCTTGAACACGGTAGTGTCCTTCACCCAAGAATTGTTTCTCTTCTTTGTCTGGAGTGGAGTAGGCACCAGGCTCCCTGGCCCTGGCTCTGTGGTGGTATCCCCACGCAGGGCCCTTCTCTTCCTCGCTTCCTTCACTATATCCATGTGCCACGTTGTCAAGCTCTGAGTTGGGGCGATTTCTCTTGTCCTCCTTTTCCTGGCTCTCATCACTGGGAGGCCTTGGAGCCCTGTACTCCTCACTTCCTCTGCCCCCGTATCGTTCCCCCTCCAGGTTCTCCGGAGCGTGGACTCCTGGGTAACTCCTCACTTCTTCCCCATATTCGGGTTCTTCCTCTGAAGCCCTGTGGTAGGTTGGATGACGGTTCCTCTTGTCGCCTAAGCTGGCCATGCCCACATTTGACTCCTCAGATTCCTCATGGGGGTGTCCCCTCTTCTCAGAGGGAGGATTCCCTTCTTGAGAGGACCTATCGGGCCCGCTCTGCCCATGACGATGTCTTGGCCTTGAGCGTTGTTTGTCCACATTGGGGCTGGCATCTTCCTCACTTTCCTCAGATTCTTCCTGGCTCCTGGCTTGGCTTTTAGACTCTTGGAGGCGTTTTTCCTGGTTCCTTGTCTCTTCTCCACTCTCCTGACTACTCCTCTCCCGGCTGTGCGTCTTCTCCTCAGGGAGCCTGGCAGAGTGTGCATAGTATCTGGACACTATCTCCTTATTTTTCTTAGTTGTGACCTGGTTTCTTTCATTGAGAAAGGCATTTTGTGTCTCCCCTGGCTCTTCCAGGTGTTTTTCTTCACTGCCACCTTCTCCATGCTCTCTTTTCTGATTTTTATCTCCTTCCTCTTCCTCCCTGTCCTCTCCCTCACTCTTCTCAGAATGATGTGTCTTAGCTTCTTTGGAGACTTGACTGTCAGAGAGAGAGAGGCTCCCTTGGGGCTCGCCTGCTCCTTCCTGGCTGTGCCCACCTCCCTCTGTGTTGGCCACTGATGGGCCTTGGGCATCCTCTCCTGGGACTCCTGCGTCCTCCCTATCGGAGGGCCTGTGGGCTTCTGAGGCATCAGCTGAGTCTCTTAATAATCTTACTTCAAACCTCGTGTTTTCATTTTCACTTTTCTCTTCATCTTTAACCTCTTTTGCACCTATAATGAAAATTTAAAAAGAATAAGTATAACTTCAGAATTGCTTATGGTTCAAGAAGCACCAGCCTCAGTGATCACTATAAGTCCTAAGCCCCCTGAAAATCACTTGGATACTATTTTAAGTTAATAAAACATATACTCAGATTCCTTTTGAAAGCAAATGGTATGACAGTTCTTTGGCTGTGTTTCAATCTAAAAATAAACTGTCTATATTTTTATTTTTTCATAACACTCAACTAGCATCTCTCATTGGTACTCTCAAGGATCAAATTGAAATCCAAGCATAGATTTATGAAATATTAGAATTTAGAACCAGAGGAAACCTTAGAACTTGTCTAGTTCGACCTCATTTTTCTACACTACATAGCAGTGTAGAAAGACCGTTCCTTCCTTCACTAAGGTCCCATCTGCCCAACACGTTCTCAAATGTCAAGGATGAAGATTAGTATACTGAGTTATCTTTGTAGTTCATGACTCAACGATGGATGGTATAACTGATATTTTAATTGAATGCTGTTCTTGCTCAACTTTTCCAAATGTCGACAGCTCCTTTACTAAACCCTCCTCAATTCAAGGACGTGGCATGAAAGGAGATATGCAGTTAACACACTCTGAGTTGTTATCTAGGAGGTTTGGATTTCAGTTTATGTCACTGAGTTCAAACAGAAAGCCTGAGGCCAAAGCCACTCACTTTGGGCCTATGCCTGCACTGTCCATTGTAAGAGCCACCAGCCCTTTGTGGCTATTGAGCACTTGAAATGTGCCTGGTCCAAACTGAGACATGCTATAAATTATAAGATACCCACCAGATTTCATCTGAAAAAAAAAGTAAAATATCTCAATTTTTTATGTTGATTGTATGATAAAATGATAATTTTTAAATGTATCGGATAATATATATCATAAATACATTGGATATATATAAATTATATATTGAATAAAATATATTAGATACAATTAAATATATTATTAAAATTAATTTCACCTGACTTTTTAATCTTTTTAATGTTTTAATGGTTACTAGAAAGTCTGAAACTATATTTATGGTTCGCATTACATTTTTATGAAACAGTTCCGATGAGTCATTCTGCACTGACATTTGCGAAGTAGAAAAAAATTGATCTGTTTTACAAAAAAAATGTCCAAGAAGTAGTGGAAATCTATACCTCTCTGCTTAAAGCCCAACCTAGCATAACATTCTCATGTTTTAGAAGACAATTGAAATGACCCTGACCCTTAACACCCAGACTCCTGAGGGCTGGCCCCTCACCAGGTGGTGGTACATTCAGTATTGAGGCTGGTGGGACTGGCCAGGAAGGCATAGGTAAACAGGGAGGCTTTAGCCAGATACTGACATCATTCTGAGAGTCAGCTGAAATAGCACCATTCTGAGGTCTCAGCTTCCCAGGGTAGAGGCTGTGTGGCCCCTTTCCTACTGCCTGCTGGTCAGGAACAGAAGTATTTTTATTCTTTCCCAGTTAAATGTGTGCTGCCTGTAGCAGCTTGTGCCTGAGGCTTAGCACTTCCTCCTAAATTTAGCTTTAAGCCCCCGCAGGTGAGATCAGAGGAGGGCTGCGATTAGCAGCACACATTGTCAATCTGTAAAACCAAGGTGTGAAGCTCATTCTTACTTTCAAGTAAAAAGGGGAAAATGCACCTTCCATCCCTACCATGTTGCAAGGATGACTAGATCAACCTGGTGAGAGATCCTTGTACCTGTTAAGGAATTGGACTACACATTCCCTAAGGTCTCTTCAAGCCCTAAACCAATGATTCTTTTCTACTCCCCAAATGTTCATTTGCTCAATAAGTGTATGCTGGCTCCAGAGATGTGCCAGAGAGAATGGGGATGGAGATAGGATAGGTGTGTGGGGGGAGCCTGCTTGAAGAAATTCATCCATCCAGTTGGCTGAAAGCTCCACCAGTCTTTGGATCAGCTTAAGACATATCAGCAGGAGAGAGAAAATTGGAATAAGACAAAAGTCAGTAAGATAAGAGGTGAGTTCTGTTTAGCCTGAATAACATTTTTAGTAAATTTGAATTCAGAGGCATTACTAAATACCAGCAGATATGCTTTTTTTTAAAAAATACCAATTTTAACTTCTTTTGAAAAAAATCCCAGGATCAGAGTCTGTATTTCTCCAAATAATGTTGGAGCTGAGAAATATCTGCTCCCCCTTAGAAAGGGGCCTATATCCTCCAGATTGGGAGTCTTTTCTTGTCTTGCCTTACTTTTTATGTTATCTATTTGTCTGGCCCTGGCTGGAGTTTGAGTCTGCAACCACCAAGGAGCTCTTCAGTCCTCTGGATCTCAGCATTTTATGGCTCTCTGGGTGTGGTGTCTCCAGGGTCTTTGACATGGGACATTTGGTTTTTACCGGTTCCCTGGAGCTCTCTCATCAGACATCAAAAGATCCCAGGGCACAATCAATGATTAGAAGAGGCTGGAATCCTGTGGCCACAGCCTAAGGGCTAAGAATCTGATCTTGGCAGACAAGCAGATTCTTATATTTGACGGCTCTTCCTAAGCAATCATGGTTCTTCAATTACCTAGTATGACACACCCCAAACTTTTGCGTACATGTGGTAAACAAAAAACAAAACAAAACAAAAAGGGAAGAGAGATAGCAGGATGGGTTTGCCCAAAGGAGCAGCCGTTAGTCCCTGCCTAGAGACCAACTCTGCTCTCACTCATTCCCTGTAATGGCTGGAAGAGAAAACTATAGAGAAATTCAGTAAGAGGTATGTATATAGAATAGAAATAGTAGAGAAGCTTCCTTCCATTTTCCATGGGGTTCCTATAGCCTCAGGCCCCCACACCTATTATGGTTACCTCAAAGCCCCTGAGTCCCTCCAGGCTACTCTTTCGGTCAATTGCTAATGCTTGTTTTTACCATTTTATGCATGAGGGCTCATGTGCAGCTATAGCACAAGAGAGTATTATCTTGCAATGAGAGATTTTGAAGGTGAAAAGAAAATAAAGGCCACTTCCCAGCCTGACTAAAAATTTAAAAGCAGAGAAAGGTGTTAAAGGAAACAGTGCTTTTTGGAATTGTTTGAATCAATTTGACTTCATGCGTAAAAGAGACTGCATAGTTTTGTAAAAATGGATCTCTGAGTATCATTTTCCAATGGATACTGCTTGTATTACTGTTCGAATTTTGTTTTTAATAGAAGCTGATTTGTGTAGAGAAAATATTGCAGTCTAGATTCAGAAGGCCATTGCTCTGACTCATTGGATGCTCTGCTTCTACCTTCACCCCTTTCACTCCAGGTACCATTTAGTGGTACCTCCCATTCCAATAAGCTCTATGTTAAAATGGCTTAACCAATCTGTCATGTAGGCCAGAAGTTTCCGAGTCACCTTTCCAAGCTTCTAACTTCTTACTGTCAGATGAGTAGAAGCCAAAGAGAAGAATAATTTTTAAATCTTTTTCTATCCTTTCATCTTTCAACACTCACTCCCAGAACACTTAATTCACCACCACCCCCCATCCTGTTACAAACAAGCACTCCCCACATCTTCCTCCACCCAAATGAAAGCTCATTATAAATATCCCACTGTGGAATCAAGGAATTTAAGAACTGATAGACATCTCAAAGACTATCACTGAGTTCAACGCCCACATTTTACTTGAGGAAATAAGCCCAGAGAGGAGTGTTTCTGTGGTCACCCAGCTATTAAGTGACAGAGTAGGAACTAGCCATTACTTCTATCTTCCAGACACTAATCTAGTCTGTATTCTCACCACTGCATTATGCCCCTGGTTCATGTGGAGGTAAAGTGGAAGATGAAGTAGAAGGAGCAGAAGAAAGGACCAATCAAGGGACAAATATCTCCTGCAGTGCAGGAAACTTACTCTTCTTCAGGACTTGTCGGCACTCCGGGGTAATGGGTGGAGTTTTGGACTTCGACAAGGCATTTGAGAGGACTTCGATGATGCAGCGAGTCACCTGGGGGGAAAGCCAAATGTAGGTTGGCAAACGCTGGTGTCACTGGGATGACAGACTACTCAACCCAGAACTGCTGTCCAGAGAGGCTTGGCTATGTGACCTGTACTGATGCAGGATTCTTGGGGGCAGGAACGTAGATTTACAGGACCATAATGAAATCTCCCAGGCCTCTCCATAGAGTAATGTAAGAAGGCACTGGGGGCCAATGTCACCCTGAGAAGAGAAATAACACCTATTTCTGAACAGTTGGAAGGAAAATGATGTAATGACACAATTGTTCCCAGAGGCACTAAACACCAGGAAGCGGGTGACAGCCAGGGCTGGAGGAGCATCTCTTGCCCCCGTTACCTCAGGGATGAGAACCTGGCTTTGTAAGACTATGCTGTATTTTTTGTTATTGTTATTGTTTTTGTTTGTTTGTTTGTTTGTTCGGTTTGGTATAATAAGGAGTGGGAAAATGTAGAGTCTAGTTATAAGTCTAGATTCTAGACTTACATTTCAACTTACCATTTCTTCATTGTGCTTCCTGTTGTTATCCACTGGCATAGAACTGACAGCTTTGAATGAGAGAAAGAATGGGAAATGACTTGAGTTAATTTTGGAAATTGTATGAACTCAAACTCACAAAATCATTCCCTACTCCCACCACCCACATCACTTGGAAAGAGGGCAGAGTCAGAGCTGAGCAGAGTAGAGATAGTTGGAGATGATTGCCCCAGGAGCCATGATTGCCCCAGCTGTGCACATGCCCACCCCTCTCCACATACACAGCTGTTTCCCCTAGCACTGTCTTAAACATGATTTGGAAATGAATGCTATCTGATATCCAGTATAAATCAAGTCCAGACAGATAAAGGGAGATTTGGGGGTACTGGTAATGTTCTGCTTCTTGATATGGGTGCTGATCACACAGGTATGCTCGATGCATGAAAAATTATACTTGTGATTTTTGCAGTTTTCTATATGTATTTTATACTTCAATAAAAAGTTTAAAACAAGCCTAGTTTAAATGAAACCAGTGCCTTCCTCAACCCTTCTGCTCATCCAAAATGGGTAAAGATCTGTGATTTCCTCTATTCCTGTTCTCAAGAAAATGTCCTCCCCCAAATTCACTTCCTTTACCCAAACATAGTTGTAACTATCTTACATAATTAATTACCTCGTTTTTACCTTCAGGCCTTTTCCTGAACAAGCTTGCTTATGCATCTGTATCAGTCAATGCTGTATAATCTCCCATGTTGTATGCAGCCATATAAAGAACATGGGAGGTATCTAATTCTATTAGTAGGTCATCAAGTCCATAATATCATATGCAAATAGGTATTTAACAACTATTTATGGTTTAAAAACTATTTATGAGGACAGTTTAAAAGATAAATTTTAATTTATTTAAGTCAAATTTCATGAGATTCTGCTTATTTTAAACCAGCAATGGAAGTGCATTTGTCTGCTTAGGAAATGCTCCAGGTGATTTTAATTTTCCAGTGCCTTCTTTTGTTCTTTCCAAGCTGCTTTGATCCTTTTATCTTTCACTTTGACTTCGTTCTGTCTAAACCTTTTCCATTGGAGAAGCTCAAAGCATTTATGCACATATAGGCCCATCTCCACAGTTTTCCTGGCATTTCCTAGAGGAGAAACTGCTATTATGGCTGAAGAAGCTCAATGCAGAAAATTCTTCTAGGTTCCTGAAACAAGAGAAAATCTAGCTGGAGCAAGAGCAAAACTCTCGCACATTGGAGATGGAAGTTACTCAAGTGTGGTTTATTTATATCCAGCAACCTGACCTTTCCTCTCAAAATGTTTGCTCACCAAACCTCTTTAACTACCCGCCTCCAATCAATTACATATCATAGGACTCAATGTAGAAATAAAACGCCTATTCCATTTGCTCACGTTACCGAATTTTCCTTTTCAAAGCATGGCCTGGGATCTGTTTCAACAGTTTCAAGAGGCCCAAAGTTACCCAGAGTGTTAAAATCATTTGTAAATGTTTAAGAAGTGTCTTACAAGGTACAAAGACCCCCATGTTCTTCCCGAAATGTAGTTCAGACAAGATCCAGATGGCTCACCTTTGGCACCCGGGGTCCAATACGCTGGGCCATTATTTTATCCCCCAAATAGCTGTTATTTGGGAACATTCCTACTTTGGCACTTACTGAAATCTATAAAATACTCTGGAAAGAAGTAAATGAGAGAATTCTTCCCCTAATAAACTAGAAGTTGCTTTTCTAAAATCCAGCTTTACTAAACCTTCTTTGGTATTGCAGTTTCTTGCTAATACTTTTCTCTCCCACCCCACAAATGTGAAATATTTGTTTTTATTAACTACCAATCATTCCAAAGTATTAACAGTCATCAGATTTGGGGGGAGAGAAATATTTTTTTCATTTTTGCTCTAAACAATTTGTAGCTCATGTTTATCATTACGGAGCAGTCCTGTTTCTCTGATTGAGGCTCTTCAGAAACCTTTTTGATGGAAAGGAGCTAGGACCTCCTTTCAAAAGTGTATTATGCATCTTGATGAGACATCTAAGTGCTATTGTATTTCTTCCAATAGAATCTGTGACAACAAAATAATAACCAAGACATGTTGATTCCCCTAAAGTAGCTTACCTTATTTTTGTATAAAGTAAAATTCACGGGGCACAAAAGGAAACCCAATGATTATGAAGTAGTCAAATGATAGCAAAATTTTCAAATAATATTTTATGATAAATCTGAGAATAACATCAAAAGTATTAATATCTCATAAAACTATTAAGGTTTGATCCCAGATTAAAAATATAGTAACAAAATAACAAGTTAAGCAAGCCCCTCTGAATACAGAAATCATCTGACCTGGTATAATATGGCTATCATGTAGCTATTTTACTCTTATTAATTTTTAGAGTGCACAGAAGCTACTGTAGAAAGGTGTGGATCTCCCTCCAGAAGCTCTTAAGGGTAGAAAATGAACCATATGGTTTCCTGAGTTTCCCCCCCGCCCTGTGATTTTGCTAAATAATAAACTCTGCTTGAAGGTTACCATGTCTCATTTCTGGGTGTTGGGGAAAGTAGAAATGGAAAAGGACTGCTAATGAATATGGAGTTTCTTTCTGGAGTGATAAAAATGTCCTAAACGTTGATAGTGGTTACAAATAATGAATATACTAAAAATCACCAAATTATGCATGTGAAAAGGTAGGTTTTATGGTGTGTGAATTATAGCTCCATAAAAAAAAAATTAAGAGTATAATGTCTAAGCTAAAAGCTCAATATAAAATATGAACTGTTCTTAAAATATTCTCTTACGTAAGAGAGCTATGAGTATTTTACCACTATAGTTAAATAACCTTCACAAATGTCACAGTATTGTAGTCTATAGCACACAGTATATAGACCAAACGTCACTGTTTTGTGGTCCATAGCACAGTTTAGCCTCTTAAGCAATTCCTTTATGAAGATATTTTTGACCAGAAAGACTCTAAATTACTCATTTGGGTTTCTTTAATTAAATTGACAACATTTGTAGGCAATATGTAAGTATGACAAGCATTTAAGAAAATTCTGAATGTATGTAGCTTGAAATAAAGTAAATTACCACTGGCTTTTCTTTTGTCTCTTTATATTTTGGACCCAGTAACTGCTGTCAATGAAAGTTTTATTTTATGGATGGCAATCCGCAATTCTGGTTGGGAATTTCAATTTCAGATTTAAAAAATTTTTCTATGAAGTCATTAAAACAGCCAGAGAAAACCTCCAGTTTAATCTTGTGGTAGCATATTTACTTCTCAGTGTTCTCAAACTCGTAGTGACTATACTTCACACACACACACACACACACACACACACACACACACACACACACACGCAGTTTTTCAAATCTCCAGAGATCATTTCTTTGAGATTCAGAGTAGTTTAAAAGATTAATCCCACATTCTTCCACAGATAAAGAGACATTGTCAAATATCTACTACTTAAAATTCCGTCCTATCCTTTGTCAGTTGTACCTGAATAAAAAAGACAAAAAAAAAATTCATCCTCCTAAAGTGACTAAAGCATTTTTTTACTACTCCAAGGATAGTTTTGTAGTTATTTTATACTCTATTATTTTTCTGGAATACAAAACTCAAAATGTCTACTACAGTTTCCATTCATAACTTAAAAATGCATTAATCTGAGTGTGAAATTACCTCTTTCCAGAGACGGAAATACAAAATACAGAAAAATATTACATTAATCCTGTACACACATATACATGAACACATATATACATATATTATATATGAACATGTTAAGAAAAAATATATGATATCATATACATACAAGACTGACTTTTATCTCATCATGTTTATATAATAATAATAATAATAATAATAATAACAGAGAAACATGCAGGTGGCAATTAACATATTATATGCACTCCTATCTCTCCTTCCTTATCTGGATTTAAAAAGCCAAAAAAAAAAAAACTTAAATATAGATATAGAATAAGACTGTAACAGCGTCTCTCTAGATGAATAGAGAGAGAATGACAATTTAGAAGTGAGCACAAAATGTGGGGTTTCCTTGGATGCACGGGCACATTTTTTTCCCTATCCACAGGAAAACTCAGACATTAAAAGTCTGAGACTCTTCTGGTTGGGCTAGGAAGCCCTCTGTTTTTTTCTAAGTCAGATGGTGAGGAGGGGAGTTGACGGGAAACACCCAGGGAAGAGAAGAAATTAAGAACCTCATGCAAAAGGGAGAAGAAACCTTCTACTGAATCCTCCCTCTCTCCCAGTATCCACCAGCCAAGATGCCTGGACGTGGGGAAGGCGGAGGCTGGCTCTGTCCGCGGTGCTGAACGGCCCACCGCACCCACTCACCGGCCACCATCGTGGCTCCTAGGAGGCCGATAAGCACGGCCGGCTGCATGGCCCCGCTTGCCCGAATCTGCTCGGAGAAGAGGACAGTGGCTGAACCAGTGGAGCGAGATGCGGACGGAAGGCGAGATGAAGATGCTCCAGTAAAGCAGCCGTGCGTCTTGATGCCCGCGGTGTGGCGCGGTAGGCGCAGGCCTCCGCTCTTTTAAAGGGCAAGTCCCGGACGCAGGGCTGGGAGGGGCGGGCACCCTACAGGCGGCGCCCCCTCGCTCAGCCCTGACGTCACGAGGCGGCCCCGGGGGTGGCGGCGCAAGTAGGCGGCAATTTGCGCCAGTCCAGTCGCCTGGGTGCTCCGGGTCTGGAGCGAGGGTGGGGAGTGAGGCGGTCGAAAGATTGGAAGGGTGAGGGGAGGCAGTGCCAATCTGTGAACTGGGGAGAGGCGGGAAGTCTGCTTAGATTACCCAAGCTTGCTCTTCATCTCCCCGACCCATATCTCCAAGTCTAAAAACGTGTATTGGAGGCTCTGTACGGTGTGCAGTTCTGCCGAGAATGTGTACATCTATGACTAAGTCTCTTGTGTCTCCACTACCCGGCGGAAGATAAGACTCCTGCTAAATAAAGAAGACTAAACGGTGGGGAGAATGGAAAAGGGAGTGATGGCTTTAAAAACAAAAGGTGCAGCTGAAGAATATGGAATCTGCTGTTTTTGAAACTTTTGGTCTTAAATCTACCTACCCATGATTCATTTATCTCTAATATCTATCTATCTATCTGCCTGCCTACCTACCTACATACCTACCTACCTACCTACTATTCATAACTCTCTCCCAACAATAACATATACACATGGTAAATATTTGAAAATCAGATGCTAAAAATCAGAACTCCCCAAATTCCCCAATTCCCCTCTGCAGAGTCAACAAGACTCAACTACTTTCCATTGTAGGCTTAATTTATTTTGCAACACATATAGCTGCATCTTATTTTGAATGGCTGCACAGTATTACATTGATTGTATACTCTAGAATTTATTTAACCAGTCCTCTTTCTGGCGGGCATTTATTTAGATTGTTACCCTTTGGCATCTTACTACTCTTTTACAACAGAGCCATAGTCTCAGAGGTCGGGAATGGAATAACCTGCTTTTAGAAACTACTACATCCCACAAGCCCTGAGCATCCCCCTTATGGACATGGACTATAGGCTAGTGGTTACCAGAGGACTATAGACTAGTGGTTACTAGTGGGGTAGGGGTGGAGGGAGGAGGTGGATGGGATAAAGGGAGTCAAATATAGGGTTTAGGGGGAGGGGAAAGTGAGTAAAGGGGTCAAATATATGGTAACTGAAGGAAACTGGACTTTGGGTGGTAAACACACAATAGAATATACAGATGTCAAATGGTAATGTACACCTGAAAATTATATAATTGTATTAACCAATATTACCCCAATGAAACTTAATTAAAAATTTTTAAGAACTAAAAAATAAATAAAATTGAAATAGGAAAGTATTTTGTTATTATGTGTGAGAGGAAGGTGAAAATACCTTCCAAGATATTTTTGACGTAGGTTCTCTCAGTCTAATGAGAAATCAGGAAAGTAGCAGGCAAGTGCCCTGAACCAAAGAGAAACAATTCAAAATCTTCTTTGACGCTTTGAGGAATAGAGTGAGTTTTTATTTAGGGTCTCTTTCAGGAAAGGCAGATGTCTGTATGCAGAGTTAAAAGGAGGTTTCAGTGTCTTGTTACTGAAAATCAATGAGGTCTAAATTCTTTTTGCATGTGCTGAGCGGATGGCTGGATCTTACTGAAAAGGCTGGGAATTACATCACCAAGCCCACAGCCACAGAATATTTAAAAGAAGAGTCTTAAAAAAGATATAATGGGACAGTTAATAAAATTTGAATAAGATCTGTAGATTACATGACAAATATGTTATCAATGTTAATTTCCTGATCTTGAGAATTGTACTGGGATTTGCAAGAGATTGTCCATGTTTTGTACATTGAAGTATCTAAAGGCAAAAGTGTGCCATGTGTACAACTTATTCTCAAGTGTTTTAGAAAAATGTAATGATAGAGTTAGAGAGAGAAAAAGAAAGAATACAAAGACAAGCAGGGCAACATGATAACATTTGGGAAATTGGGGGTGCAAGATCTATGGGAATTTTTTATTATTTTTGCATATTTCCAAAATCTGATATTATTTTAAAACAAACAAAAAAGAATGTCATTGGCACAAAAGAGTCTGTTTAAAATCTCTGTAAAGTAGTGAGTACAGAAAATGAAGGTGTTGCATGAAGGCCCTTCCTTGGGCATTGATCTGGGAGAAGTTCTTCCTCTACTGTTAATATTATGTAAGGATTCCAAAGGCTCTTTTAAATGCCCATTAACAGTTCTTTGAAATCGCCTCCCTCCAGAAATATTTGCATTCCAGTTTTCTAGCAATTTCCCTCTCTTCTTCTTCCCTTGAAAAGTACAGGGTTAAAAATTTTAACGTCATCTTATAGCTTCTCAGTCTGGGCTTGGGCTGTTTATTACTCATCAAGAAAAGTGTTTTTATTATTATCAATTGGCCCACAGCCAGTTTCTATTTTCAGATTTACCTTTTTTCCGTAGTATTTCATAAACTTATTATTTTGCCTTCACATTTAGATCTCTATGTACCAGAGGGGAAAAGCCTTTGGGAAGAGCATTTTTCAGGGATTTTCTCACAGAAGGATGATGGAGGAAAACCAATATTTTCTTTAGGAATAAACACGGTCTGAGATAGACGTAGTCACATTTTTTAACCATATCACAACCCAATTGCCCTGGGAATTTTTCATTGAAGCGACTGTCCTTTTCCACCTGCTCTATCGTGGCACTTTGAAAAAAAAATCTAGTCAAATGTGTGGTGACAGAAAAAAAATCTAACTATGGGAGGTGAACACACAATGTAAATATATATATATGCCTTGTTAAAATATACAGCCGAAACCAGATTTCGTTAAACAATGTCACCACAAAAATATTAAAAAAGAAAAAAAGAAAAAAAGAAAAAAAATCTAGAATCCACGTGTGCATTGGGAATGCTTCTGGACTCTTCTAGAATATTGATTGATTCCATTTCATTGGTCTATTTGTTTATTCTTTCTGTAATATTACACTTTCTCTATCATCATAGCTTTTAAATAAATCTCAATATCTGGTGGAAAAGGTCTTCCCATCTTGTTTTTCTTAAGGAGGATACTGGTCATTCTTGGCCCTTTGCATTTTCATAGAAATTTTAGAATCAGTTGTCTATTTCCATGAAAAAAAAAATCTATCTGTTAAGATGTTGGCAAGAATTGCATAAAATCTATGGATCAATTTTGGAACAGGTGACATCTTTACAATATTGGTCAGACTTGGATTTGTGATTGCTGATAATGTTTTGGATATAATCTCTCAAGTAGTACAAAATAATGTTATCATCGGAAAAGACAAAAAGCCATAGGAAAGACCATGTTTCAGGAGTGCTCTCAAAGAATAAAGGAAGAAAACATTCTTCCTTTTGGAACAAGGGTTTTGATTAAACCATAGTTTTGTACATGGCTCCTGAAATAGGTTATCCATCAGGGTCCAGCCAGGAAAATGAAACCACTAGAAGGAATTTGACACAGGAAATAATACACAGGGGTTAGAGAAACTGAAAGAGCAAATAGGGGAAGATGAGGAAACCCAGAGATTAGTAACTGCAGGCAGCTGCTACCGCCCTGGGAAATGGGGGGAGAAAGGAAGTATGTGTCCTTACTGGAGCCCAGGAACATGGGCCACTTAGTAGGAGTGGGAACCTCTGCAGGCTGGAAAGTGGGGTTTGGGGCCATAGACAAAGGGCTGTCTGATGGGAGCTGAAATCACAGAAGAGAAACAGCCACCGCTAGAGACATATCCCCTCCTCCCCAGAAGAGAAAGCGGGGAAATACCCTGGCTTCTCCTTTCTTTCACTGCCAGTGCCTCTTAGTGGCTGAACATACCTGGGAATGACTGATAGGGAAGCCTGGGAAATAGAGTTTGTAAGGGTCAGTCCCTCCAGTGATACAGAAAAGGGGAAGGAATCAGAAAGCAAACAGACAAACAAATAGCATATAGGTACTGGTACTGAATTTAGATTTTCTCTCAAAATTTGTTAATTCACTTCACTTGCATATATAAATTCTTACTATGTGTCAAGCTCTTTGGTAGATGCATATTCTTTTGGCTATAGCAAATTACAGAGTCAATCCCAACATTAATGGCAAAAGGAAACACACTCGACCTACTTTGGCAGAGTTCACTAGCCAGTCCGGAAGTAAAAGCGGGAGAGATGTAGGGTAGACCCATCTACGGAGTAGGGTGAGAGAGCATAGTATGTCAGAAAAATGGCACTGCCATAGAAACTACTGCCCTGCAAATGTACATCTACAGAATCATCTGTGTTTGTGGCCAACAGGATAGACACTTGTCTTTTGTGACTTCAAGGTCTTTTCCTAATAAAGAGCACCATGTCAACAAGTCGTTTTCCTTAAGTAGTTTGGACCTGGAATACATTTAGTACCTGGTTTCTTATGTCAGGTCAGATTTCTATTACACTTTGATATAATTAAGAAATCACAACCAAATCTTCATCTTAAGAGAAAATAGAAACTACTTTTTCTAATCCACTAAGTTGTAAGTAATATAATTCCATATAACTTGCATGTAGATACATATTAATAAAAATTAACATTTTCTCAAAAGAAGTTGAGAGATAGAGCTACAACCATTCAGGTCTGACAAAGCAGGCAATATTCCTCTTCAATTCAGAGTTTGTATAAAATCGATGTATTAGGTAAATAGATTCACTTATTTGTTTATGTACTGAAAAGAAAGCAAGAAACAAATATTGAAAACTAGGTAGGATAACTTTGGTTGGGTCTGATGAGTTGGTAAGACCACCAGGCTCCTGACAAAGCATATTCTAGTTAGCAACATACCACATAGTAAGGATCTAGAATTGATACAGAGTGCTTCCTTGTCTCTCATATGGTTTTTCTCTTAACACACACACACACACACACACACACACACACACACACACACACACACACACTACAGTAGATACTGCTGGTTTTCTGCCTAACTCTCCCATATCCCTC